CTTGAATAATAATTCTTTATTGAATAGTTTATTCAGTATTGAAACGTTTGTTCTGTGCTCCCAGAAGACCCTCAACTTCCTCACAGGGCAGAACTCTCCGACTCAGCAAACCCAATTTGTCTATATCATTTCGGCTGTCCCAGAGACTGGTATATAGTAACAGTGCAAGAAATTAAGTTAGTCATTTCAAACAAATATTAAATAATCATCATACGTTTCGTTAAGAATTATAAAACAAGCCGGGCGGTGGTGGCGCACGCCTTTAATCCCAGCACTCGGGAGGCAGAGGCAGGCGGATCTCTGTGAGTTGGAGACCAGCCTGGTCTACAGAGCTAGTTCCAGGACAGGCTCCAAAACCATAGAGAAACCTTGTCTCGAAAAACCAAAAAAATAAATAAATAAATAAAAAGAATTATAAAACACTAAAGGCAAGCTCTGGTCATTATTCAGTTTCTAAATAAAGGGGGGACGGGTTACAAAGGGGTAAATTAATTTGCTTAAGGTCCCAAAACTGATTAAGTGGCAACTGAAAACCGAAGCTGTGACTCTGCAGTCAGGAACTATTTATACTGTAACATGTCATCCCCATGTAAATTCTAGGTCCTGCCTGATACAAACTACAGCGTTCAGAGTAAGGAATTTCTAGAAAGTCAGCCTTGACTTGTTCATTCTTTCACAAACTGTAAGCCTACCGGTTTCCGGGACAATCTTACAGGTCTAATTATTACGATGTTGCCACTTTCCTAGGAAAGCGCGTGGAGTCTGACATACTTATCTAGGGGCTAAAGTGAAAAAGTGGAGGCCAAAATTCAAACACGAAAGTCCGTCGTCAGCCCCGCTTATCATATTTCTTATCAACTTTTTAGTCCTCCCGGCTTTCGCCCTACCGGGTCGTTTCACAAAGCAGCTTCCCGCCTCCGCTCTGGAGCCCATCTTACTGTATGATCTCCTCGCTGACATCCAGGGCGAAAGTTTTCCGCAACTGCTGGGTGCACCACTGTACCAGCGGCTCCCGGGACGCCGCCCCAGCCACCGCCATCTTCCCCAACCGGAACCAGCTGGGCTGCAAAAGCCTCTCGTCCTGCGCCGGACTAGTCCCCTCCGCAACGGAGACCTCGATGACTAGGGTTCCGCAAGCTTGCACCGCCCCGCATGGTCGGCCCGCCTTTGAGGCTGATCCCGCCCACTCGCACCGCCTCTGGCTTCTCTCAGCTTCCGGGTGGTCTTACATGTGTGTTGGGCTTTCGCGCCTGAGTGTTTCTTCGACTTAGAGATGTAACTCCAGAAAGGATATTGGTAATTGTGCTAAAACAATATACACACCTCCAGAAGAGCTGTAGTAGGAATAAAAGAAAGTGAGACCCCAAAGGATGGGTACGGCTTTTAAATTTTAGTCTGGTCCAGTTGTAGAACATTTGAAACAACTCTAATCAGGAGGCTAACAAATCCAAAGCCTGCCTGTAGTACGACGTGAACTCAAATCCAGTCTTTGTAACTTAGCGAGGTCCTGTCTCAGGATAAGAAGGAGGTAAGGTGGAGGAAGACTGGGCATGAAGCTCAGTGCTACCCTGCCTACTGAGCATGTGAAAATCTTGGGGTCCTCCAGCCCTCGGAAGTGATTTGTAATCACTGTAGTCGTTTTGTTCTGATGGTGGTGGTGCTTATTTTTTAGTGCCATCTGTAATTGAGACTGCACTGCTACACCACTTGAAGGCTAACAACCATCAGCGGGAAGTCCTCTTCCAGGGACTCCTACACCCAGTTCTGGCCTCCACAGGCACCAGGCTTCCATGTGATACACACACACACAGGCAAGCACTTACTCATACACATTTAAAAAAAAAAAAACTTACAAAAATAAATTACATTAGCTAAGCATGGTGGTACATGCTTTTAACCCCAGCACTGTAGGAGGCAAAGACAGGTGGACCTTTGTGAGTTCAAGGCCAGCCTGGTCTGTGTAGTAAGTTCCAGGCTAGCCAGGGTTACTAGTGAGACCCTGTCTTAAAAAGTTATTATATTGGGGCTGGAGAGATGGCTCAGTAGTTAAGAGCACTGGCTACTCTTTTATAAGTCCTGAGCTAAATCCCAGAACACATAAGGCAGCTCACAATTTCTACGCCACAGGATCTATGGGATCTGATGCCTTCTTCTGGTCTGCAGATGTACATGTAAACAAAACATCAATATACATAAAATAAATCTTTAAAATATTATCATATTTTGTATTGGTGTGTTTGTCCATGTTTGTATATGCTGTGGGCTACCACAAATGCACACTGTACAAGTGACAGTTGGAGGCCAACTTGTGGGAGTGAGCTCTTCCTTTCTACCATATGGGTCCTAAGAATTGAACTCAGGTGGTCAGGCTTGGCAGCAAGAACCTATACCTCCTAAACCATTTTGCTGACTTACCAGCTTTTCTCAAAAAGCAAAATACAGTCAATGTTCATTAATGGTGAGAATAAATTTAATCTTTTCATAAAAATCTGATGCATTCATTATTCTAGCATATTCAAATCATCTACCTTTTTCTATATTTATTCATTCCCATAGCTTAGTTGCTCAGTGATAAAGACTGTACTTAACATATGTGAGGCCTTAAATCACATCTTCAGTAGCAAGGTATAAGTTTAGACAGAAATTCCATTAATGCATACACACTACAACTTTTCTGTTCCTTTTTTCTTTAAAATGTAACTTTTCCATAAGATATTTATTTTGTAATTGGGTGGGTGCTATGAAACCCATGTAGAAGTCAGAGGACGACTTTCAGGAATCAGTTCTCTCTTTCTGTCCTGTGGCGCCTGGGAATGGAACTCAAGTCGTCTAGTTTGGTGGTAGGAGTGCTCACCTGCTGAGCCATCTCATCAGCCCTACTACAATTTGTCTTAATGTGTTAGGCCTCAGGTTTTCCCCATTTTCATGTTTAAATCACACAATTCTGTTTTATTTAATTGTAAAAAAAAAAAAAAAGTCCAAAGCAATCTTTTTATTTTGCTTTGTCCTGGAACTCCAAGGTGACCAGGTTGGCCTCAACTCACAGAGATCCTCCTCCTTCTGCCTCAGGCCCAATCATCATCTCCCTCCTCCCCTGGCCTTAAATCCACCCTTGAACTTTTTCTTTTTTTCTTTTCGAACAGAGTTTCTCTGTGTAGTTCTGGCTGGCTGCAAAGTCAGATAGCCACCTGCCTCTACTTCCCAAATGCTAGGATTACACTCATGCTCCATCATGCCTATCTTTACATGGTGCTAGGGAGCAAACTAAGGGTTTTATGCATATTAGGCAAGTGCTGTACCAACTGAGTCACATTCCCAGCTCCCAAAGTAGCCATTTTAATTAAAAACATTTGGAAAGTTTATTCTTGTGTGTGTGTGTGTGTGTGTATGTGTGTGTGTGTGTATGTTTTTCTCTAACGTGCATCCCTCATCGATATCATTGGTATTAAAAGAACAAACAAAAAAAATCACAACTACAATAATATGTAGATTGTTCTTGTATGAAGAGGTATATTTGACATTCTTTCTAGTCATTTGGTTGAAATGCAAGAGAAAAGACACATCCTCTTCATCCTCTTTCTCTGTTAGAACTCTGGAATGTGAGTTCAACTAAGCAATTCAGACCTGAGTAGAAGGCCTTTAACTGAAAAGCAAACAGTGCCACTTAAGAACCAATGTGCATTTTCATGAGGCTAAATGACAATAAAGGAATGCTTGTCGATTTTTCTGGTGGGAATTTGACTGTAATCTAACACTCCAAGTTTAAGATAAACTACTATTGCTAATATTATGATGTTAATCTGATGACTACCTAAACCTTTCATTATTTTCATTTTTTTAAATGATTTATTTTTATTTTATGTGCATTAGCATTTTACCTGCATGTATTTTTGTGTGAGGGTATCAGATTGCCCTGGAATTGGAGTTATAGACAGTTGTGAGTAGCCTTGTGGGTGCTGGGAATTGAATCTGTGAACTTGGGAGCCTCTGGAAGAGCAACCTCTTAATGGCTGAGCCATCTCTCCTCTATTTTTTGTGGTCTTTTTTTCTTTGTTTCTGGTCTCTTTTCCTCCCCTCCCCTCCCCTCCCCTCCTCTTCCCTCTTCTTCCTTTCCTTTCCCTCTCTTCCCTTCCTTTCCTTCTCACTATCCACCTGTCTCTGCCTCCTCAGGGCTGAGATTACAAAATGCACTAGGCAGGGCTTTGAAATCTGTAGGTTGTATAACACAATGGATTGTTAATTTGGTTAAGGTCCTAAGTCGATTTTGTTGCTATTCAAGCCTAATTCACTGGAGAGAAGAAGCTCTGCACTTACACTCTGAAGGTTGTCCTTCAAAAGAGCATTAATGGAAAACATTCTGCAGCAAGCACAAATGGTCTTGTTACATGCATAACATTCAGAACAAACACAAATTCTTAGGAATATTGTAATTTTTGAAGCATAGGGCTAGAAAATATTTATGATCTCTTTATTGTAGCATTATTCTCATGTGGGTTGGAACTGTAGCCTTTTTACGTTTGGCAGATTTTGAGTTATGTAGCCATCTTTATAATTTCATATGCATATGGACAATTTGTCCAATTTTTAGTCTTATGTGATCTGAAAACTTTTTTTAAAAAAAACACTGTAAAAACCTAAGTTGCATTTTCATTTCTCCCACCTCAGAAAGTTAAAACATGGCAGAGTTCACCCTTAGGATATTAAACTTTAGCTTTGATTTGCATCGAAAAGTCCACTTAATTTTAATTTTCAGGGTTTAATCACCATGGATTTAACTCTGTGATAACTTTTGAAGAAATATTGCAATTCCTATCTTTACTAGGTTTTATTTTATAAGCCAACTCACTTGGCTAGTTAGTTCACAACCTACCTCTGCACCCACACTTGGCGCTCCCCTGGAGCGTCCTGGCTCCGCCCACCACGAGTGGGCATGAATCACGACCCTGGGGCTGATGGACTGGCCAGCAAAGCCTGGACAGAAAGGCTGTCATTCGCTGGAAGCTGCCAATTGGTTCAGGGTGAAAGCGCGGAACCAATAAGAGTCACGATTCTCAAGAGCTTGGAGCGCGCGGGAAAGAGACCCTTTTAAACTGTGGCGGGAACGTCATTTTCGGGTTCTTGTTCAGTTAAGACATCCGCAGCTGGGGCGTTGGTGCGAACTGTCTCTTGCTGAGTGAACATGGTGCGGACCAAAGCAAACTACGTCCCGGGAGCCTACAGAAAAGGTAAAGGGATGCAGCATGGGGGTTATGGGGTTCCCTAGGCCGCCTGTCCCTAGTATGGAGCCTCCGTGGCTATCCACCCCACCCCCACATCGAGCTAGGAATCAGGCTCCAGGCCCACACCTCGAGGAAGCTGCGGAGGCCTGGCAAGACCGTTTTGCTGCTGTGCATCACCCTGCTCTCCGCTAGGCTGGGACTGATATAACAAAGGTCGGGGGTCCGAGCTCTACAGCCTCTTCTGATTGCTCCCCTTTACCTCTCTTTGCAGTGGTGGCTTCTCGAGCCCCCAGGAAGGTGCTTGGCTCCTCCACCTTTGTCACCAATTCTTCATCGTGCTCGTCGAGAAAAGGTAGGAACGGTCCTGGAAGCTTAGGAAGTAAAATAAAACCCCGAAAGGAGCTCAGGCCTGGCATAGCAGTCCCGAATTGTGAGGCCCTGACCTCTGTGAATTCATTTTTATTTAATCTTCCTCTGGAATTTGTTTCCCTTGTCATCCTCACTCCTAAATTTCTTCCTTGCCCTCTAAGGGGGCCTTGGTCTTTCAACAGGATTGGTTAGGCGTATGAGGGGAGGTTTATTTTTAAACCTATTTTACTTTTAAATGGTGTTTAGTTTTTTTTTTTTAATATTAACCATTACTATTTTCTTGGAGGCTACTTAAGTTTCTCCTCATTACATTTAGAGTGACAGTTGACAGTACTGCCACATTATTTGTAGGTGTGTGTGTGCGTGTGTGTGTGTGTGTGTGTGTGTGTGTGTGTGTGTGTGTACTGCTTGTCTATCCAACTGCCTATGAACTTTCTGGGAACTGAACCCTGGCCCTTGCCCATGTTGGACGAGTGCTCTACAGCTGAGCTACATCTTCAACCACACTGTCCCAATACAATTATCCTTTTGCTTCTGTTTGTATTTCTCCCTTCCTCCCCCTCTGTGCCCCTTTTCTTCCCGCCTGTCCTTCTCTTCCACCCTCCTCCCTTTCCTTCTCCCTCTTTCCCTCCCTCCTCCTTCTTCCAAGGTCTCATGTAGCCCAATCTCTAGTACAGAGAATAACCTTGAACTTCAGATCCTTCTGCCCTCTTTCTGATCCTTCTGCCTCTACCACCCCAATTCTGGGATGCCAGGTTTATTTTGTGCTGGTGATCTAACCCAGGGCTTTGTGCATGCTAGGCAACTCTACTGAGCCACATCCACAACCCATTCCCCTCTTCTCTCTCTCCCGATTGCTGGTATGTACAGGTATGTACTACCACAACCTGCTTTTTTTTTTTTTTTTTTTTTTTTTTTTTTTTTGAGATGGGATCCTTGGTTTGTTGCCCAGGCTGCTGTTAAAGCCCTCCCGATTTAGACTTCTGAGTGAGTAGGATTGCAGGAGTTAGCCACCATACCCAATAATTCATGGTTTTTATGCCAACCCAACCCATATTCCTCCCCACCACACACCATTATTTATTTGAGATAGGCCCTTTATGTGTATTTAGCCAGACTGGCTGTAATTCTCTCCTGCCTCGGTCTCTGGAGTGCTAGGATTATGGGCATGTACTACACCATACTCAGCCCTCAATTTCCACCAAATCTAAAGATCTCATTAGGAAATATTTACTATTTCCACCTCTTCAGATAAGATAGTAAACAAAATTTTTGAAAGCAGATTAAATTATTCAGAATGTCTTATATTTTGTACAACTAGGGTAAATTCTTTCAAGGCCACCTCTCATTGTCTGGCCTACTGCTTAATCACTAGGGCTAATTGAATAGGTCCTTAATATATGTTAAACAGCCTGGCAAAGACGTGCATGACTCTAATCCTAAGTGCTCTGGAAGTGGGGCAGGACTACCGTATATTCAGAGCCAGCCTGGGCTACCAAGTGAGTACCAGGTGTGCCAGGGGGTACTAGCAACACAAAAATAATCAACTAAACAACAAGTGGCTTGGTATAGTGGCACATGCTTGTATATGAAATACTGACTCACCCCACCCATTAACATAAAAATGGTCATAGATTTGTATTTTTTTTAATATTTATTTATTATGTTTACAATATTCTGTCTGTTTGTATGCCTGCAGGCCAGAAGAGGGCACCAGACCCCATTACAGATGGTTNATGCCTGCAGGCCAGAAGAGGGCACCAGACCCCATTACAGATGGTTGTGAGCCACCATGTGGTTGCTGGGAATTGAACTCAGGACCTTTGGAAGAACAGGCAATGCTCTTAACCTCTGAGCCATCTCTCCAGCCCCCATAGATTTGTATTTTTAATGTCAAAAATATATGAAATTATAGTATTCTCATTCCAAATTACTTTTATTGTTATATTTATATTGTCTGTGTGTTTGTGTGTATGTTCATATATGCACGGATTTGCACACTATTACGCACATATGAGGATAATTTGTGGAACTCAGTTCTCTCCAGCTCAAACTCTAGTATTCATTTTTTTAAAAATATTTATTTATTATGTATACAATATTCTGTCTGCATGTATGCCTAAAGGTCAGAAGAGGGCACCAGACCTTATTACAGATGGTTGTGAGCCACCATGTGGTTGCTGGGAATTGAACTCAAGACCTTTGGAAGAGCAGGCAACACTCTTAACCACTGAGCCGTCTCTCCAGGCCCACTCTAGTATTCTTTACTAGAATACTCCAGGGTTCTTTACCACTGAACATCACTCCAACCTTCATTTTCTAATTCAAGACGGATGTTATATTACTTAATGCCTCTAGAAATCTGATATTAAAGAAAGACAATTACATCTAATTTTATTTAAATCTGTTTCTGTTTTATAGCTGAAAATAAGTATGCAGGAGGGAATCCAGTTTGTGTGCGCCCAACTCCAAAGTGGCAAAAAGGCATTGGAGAATTCTTCAGGCTGTCTCCTAAAGATCCTGAAAAAGAGAACCAGGTTCCTGAGGAAGCAGGATGCAGTGGCTTAGGAACATCGAAAAGAAAGTAAGTATGCTCTGGAAGACAGAAAATATCCCCTACAAATAAAAAACAAAAGGGATCGTGAGAAATTTTGAAGTTTCTTTTCAAGCCAATAAGAAAAGAAAACTATGCTTTAACTTCTAATAATTTTTATGTTGCCCTAAAATTTCAAATGCCTCTCAAAAATTAATTTTTACTTACTCTAAAGAGTAAGTAAATTTATTATTCCTCTACAGTTTTGTTTTTGTTTATGCTTTTTTTTTTTTTTTTGTCTTTAAGTCAGAGTTTCTTTGTTTAACAGCCCTGGCTGTCTTGAAACTCACTCTGTAGACCAGGCTGGCCTTAAACTCACAGAGATCCACCTGCCTCTATCTCCCAAGTGTTGGGATTAAAGGTGTGCACCACCATTACCAGCCTTGTTTTGTTTTTTGAGACAGTCTCTGTGTGTAGCCCAGGATAGACTTGAAGTTCTTGTAATCCTCCTGCCTCAGCCTGCTAAGTGCTGAGAGGCATGCGCTACCACACTTTATAGTCTGCCTGCCTTCCTCATTCCCTCTCTTCCCGCATTTTCCTTGCTTTTTTTTCTGCCTGTTTTTCTTTTTTTCCAAAAAGAAACTTCTATGTCAGTTCATCTAGTGAATTCCATTAAGCTCCTTATACCCCACAAAATTATTACTGTGTATAGCTCACTGTAAGTCCGATACTCAGTGTGCATGCAGTGCTAGGTTTAGTCTCCAGTACCAAAACAAGTAGTAATACTATACGTTGAACTTTCACAAGAAATATACAATTAACATAGAGAAAGGAATCAGAAATAACTCTCTATAGAAATATATATATATTTAGTATACAGACAATAATATATAGTATATATTTATATATTCTCTATAAATCCTTAAGAATTCTTCAAACTGGGACTGGAGTTTTTAAAATTATTTTTTGGTTTTTTGAGACAGGGACTCTTATGTAGCTCTGGCTGTCCTGGAATTCACTATGTAGACTACGCATACATCTCAGACATCTGCCTTCTGAATGCCAGGATTAAAGGCAACACCATGCCAGCTTGTTTTTAAGATTAATGAATGAGAATGCTAGTGATAAATGTTGAGCTCAAATTCTGGATGAAAAAGTATAATATTTGGGACTAGAGAGATGGCTTGGCCTTTAAGAACATGTACTGCTCTTGCAGAGGATTCAGGTTTGGTTCCCAGCACCTACATGGCAGCTCACAACTGTGTGTAACTCCAGTTCTAGGGGGTTCTGATACCTCTTCTGACCTATTTGGGTTCCTGCAACATGTGATATACATACATACAGCTGGGCACAAATATACATGTATCTATAAAATAGATATATATAAAAGTAAAAAATATTTTTTAAAAAGTATAATCTACTTTGCAAGACACACATACACACTATAAAAATATAACAATAATTATATATCTGGATAAAAATCTTATCTCATGCTACATACTACCAATTTCTAACAATCAACATCTATCACTTTAGTAAGAATCACAAAAAACGAAAACAAAAACAGGCATAGTAGCTCATGCTTTGAATCCCAGCACTAGGGATGCAGAGGCAGGTGGAGCTTTGTAAGTTCTAAACTAGCCTGGTCTACACAGTGAGTTCCAGGACAGCCATCGCTACACAGACAAATTCTCTCTGTCTTGAAACAAAAAGAGGGTGGGGGCTGGGAATGTAGCTCTCAGTGTAGAAAACTTAGCATGTTTGAGGCATTAGCTTCATTACTCTGCACGTAAAAAATTTAAAAAATTGGTAAAAAAAAAAAAAGTATTTGAATTTTTATAGGTTTATAAGTATTGAAGCCAAGGGACACACATGGAGGCTGGGGCAGAGGACAACTTTCAGGAGTCAGTTCTCTTTCCACCTCTACATGGGTGTCAGGAATTAAACTCAGGTGTCCAGATTCAAATGACGAGCAAGCACTTTTATCAGCTGAGCCATTTCAATGCCCGTACTTTTTAATTTTTGTTTGTTTTTTTTGAGACAGGATCTTACTATGTAGCCTTGGCTGGCCAAGAACTCACTATGTAGACCAGGCTGTCTTGGAACTCACAGAGATGCACTTGTCTCTGCCTCCTGAGTGCTGGGATTAAAGTTGCATACCTCCATGTCTTGCCTACTATTCCCTTTTTAAAAGTGTTTTAATTCTGGGGCTGGAGAGATGGCTCAAAGGTTAAGAGCATTGACTGATCTTCCAGAGGTCCTGAGTTCAATTCCCAGCAACCACATGGTGGTTAACAGCCATCTGTAATGAGATCTGGTGCCCTCATCTGGTGTGTGGGCACGCATGGAAGCAGAATGTTGTATAATAAATTTTAAAAAAGTGTTTTAATTCTAAAGGAAATTATTTGTGAGATTGAGGCTAATCTGAACTATCTAAGATCCTGCTTCAAAAAACTAAACAAAAAAAAAGCACTTGGGTGTAGAAAGAGAGGGTGTGGCACCATGACACTGCCATTGTGATGTCTTCATGAAAGTAAGACCTGGTTTGAAATCTCCACACCAGCCAAAAGCCTAGAGAAATTCCAGCTCGACAAGCAGCAAGCTGGACACTTGGCACCCTGACCATCGAGGGTGAGAGGATGGCGGTCAGACTCTGTTTGGGACTATTGCTCCTTGTAGTCCTCCCCATGCAGGTTGAGTCATTTGTCCCTGTAACCAGCACAGCAGGCCCTACCTACTATGAAACTGAGGGCCCTGATGACTCCACTGTGGAATCCTCCAGCAACTCCCTAAAAGCTATAACCAATCTCCTTGGAGTCTTGCTTACCTTTCTGTGTCTTATCCGTTAAGAGCCTCAGACCAGATCACACCTAATATTGGACCAAGTGGCACCTGCAAATCCAGTGTTACAAGGAAAACAACCAGGTCTTCACATCTACTCATCCCACTGGTTTTAGTAAAACAGAAAATCCCAAGAAGCTCAGACTGGACTGCCTTGAAGATCATCTCAAGGGTTAATTAGATGGTGAATACTAATCTTAAATCTGGAGTTTCACATATAACAACAGAGAAAGACAATGCTGAATACTGGTTAATGATTTCATTGCATGTGGTTTATGAAATATGGATCATTAAAAATCCACCTTGAAAATAATTTCACTTTGCTCTAGAGAAAAAGTGTGCAGTGTGGAATGGAGATTCAGTATTCTTTATGGTTCACTAAACCACAGAGCTTGTAAAGTAATTAGGAAATAAGAAAATATTTCAGATTTTACATGTATTTTGGAAGGAAGTATAAGAAAACTACTGTAAATTCTCTTCTCTCCATTGCCATTCTCTCTGTGCTACAAATTGAACTCTGGAACTTGTAAGCATTAGGCAAGCTCTACCTCTGTACTATTAGTCATTTAACTCTGTGTGTGTGTGTATTTTTTTTTGTTTTTGTTTTGAGGCAAGGTTTCTTTTTATAGCCCTGGCTAACTGGGAACTTGCTCTGTAGACCAAGCCGGCCTGGAACTCAGATATCCTTCTGTCTGTAGTGCTGGGATTAAAAGTCTGTGCCACCACTACCCAGCTCTCTTTCTTGCTTTTTTTTTTTTTTTTTTTGAGATGGTTTCACTCTGCAGCCCAGGCTAACCTTGAACAAGTGGCAACCCTTCTACCTTAACCTCGCTGCTCTCTGGTTATGGGTTAGAAGTGTGAACCACCATATTTGGTTGCATTTAGCTTTTTGTATAGTAACTGACAAGGATGGATTTGAATATACTTCCTGAGTAATCCCCTCTACCTAGTAACCCACTCTTGCTTTGAAATCACTCTGTAGCTAGAGCCTTGTACTCTATCCTCCTGTCTTGGCCTCTATAATGATGAGATTGTAGCTATGCACTGGGCCTGGACATGTACCTCAGTGACAGAAGGCTTGTCAGCACAAGGCCCTTGGTTCAACCTCTTAACACTCCATAAACATAATGTATTGATAGGCATTTTATACCATGTTCAGCTAGTAATTAAAAAAAAACCCAGATATTTTTATTTATGCATATATGTATGTGCCTGTGTGAGTTTATGTTTACCACATATGTGCAGGTACTTATGAAGGCTGGAGGGCACAGATCCCCTGGAACTGGAACTACAGGTGTTTGTGATGCACCTGATAGAGGTGCTAAGAAAGGAACTATGTCCTCTTTAAGGATGCAGTAAGTGTTCTTGGCTTCTACACCATCTCTCCACAACTCATCACTCTTACATATATACTCAAAAGCTACACAGGTCAGTCTGGGTTAGCTGAGACCCTGTCTCTAAACAAATGAAAACCAGACAAAAAATGACTTTCATCACATGGAGAGAAATTATATAGTTTCATAGGCAAGTTTAATCTATAGTATAATATAAATCAGCAATAGTCAGGCACATGCTTTCATTACATTGAGACAGATCATGAGTTCAAGCTATCCCAGAGTACATAGTGAGACTGTCTCAAAAACCCAAAACAAGTGATAATGATATAATTCTGTGGTAGAGTCCTTGTCTAGCATATATCCCTGGGTTTACTTCAGAGCAAAACAACTAAACAAGAAAACTCAAAGCTGGGCGATGGTGGTGCACGCCTTTAATCCCAGCACTCAGGAGGCAGAGGCAGGCAGATCTCTGTGAGTTCGAGGCCAGCCTGGTCTACAGAGCTAGTTCCAGGACAGGCTCCAAAGCCACAGAGAAACCCTGTCTCGAAAAACCAAAAAAAAAGAAAAAGAAAAAAAGAAAACTCAAAACAACAAAAGCTAGATTCTACAGGTTGACACTATTTTTAAGCCACGTTTGTAGATCTGCCATTGTTTTAGAGAACTGTGATTATTCCTTTATTGAAACAGTAAATTAATATATCAGAAGGAATGTGAACTTCTGAATTCACATTCTGCTATGGTTATTCCTTATAACCTTGTTTTTGCCCCAAAGCTGGGCAAGCTCCTTTTGCACATAGAACTATTTGCACGAATGTTTTTCCCTTTTTAGTCATTTTCTAAAAGTTACATTTAGTATGATGTGTGTGTGCGTGCGGGTGTGTGCACATGCATGCAGGCATGTGCCATGGCACATGTATGGCATCCAGAGGACACTCTGCAGGAGTTGATTTGCTTCTGCCATTGAACTCAGGCCATCAGCTTGGTGGCAAGCACCTTTACCTGCTGAGCCATCTCCTTGGCCTTCTTTTCTAGGCTTTGACTTCAATTTAGTCACAATGGCTTTGCATTTTCTTTTTCTTTCATTTCTCTAAAATATATATTTCAAATTTATTGTGTATATAGTGTTCTGGGCACCAGATCTCATTATAATGGGTTTGAGCCATCATGTGGTTGCTCGGACTTGAACTCAGGACCTTCAGAACAGCAGTCAGTTCTCTTAACCTCCGAGCTATCTCTCCAGCCCTAAAATATATATATATTTTAGTTATGCATCCAAGGCAGTGGGTTTTATTTGACACTTTAAAACTTAATAAGCTGGGCAGTGGTGATGCACACTTTTGATCCCAGCACTAAGGAAACAGAGGCAGGCAGATCTCTCTGAGTTCGAGGCCAGCCTGGTCTACAGACAGATCCAGAAAAGCCAGGGCTACACAACACAGTAAAACCCTGTCTCAAAAAACAAACAAGGCTGGATGGCTCACCAGTTAAGAGCACCGACTGCTCTTCCAGAGGTCCTGAGTTCAATTCCCAGCACCCACATGGCAGCTCAGAACTGTCTAACTCCAGTTCCAGGGCATCTGACCCTCACACCAATGAACATAAAATAATAATAAATTAAAAAAAAACTGCCTACAGTTAAAAAACAAACAAAAATAATAAAAATCAATCCCTCCCCCACTTAAAATGTGTGTGAGTGTGTGTGTGTGTGTATGTGTGTATGTGATGTGCTTGTGCCTCTTCGAAGGCCAGAGAAAAGTTTCAGGAGTCGGTTCTTTCCTTCCACCATTGGGTTGTCAGGTGCCAAGTGCCTTTACCCACTGCACTATCCAATGGCCCCCATTGTCATTTTCACGCTCTATTATGCTTCGTTCTTATTTGTTTCCCTGTACTGACTTAACCTTTTTGCACATCTCCTTTCTCTTCCTTGCTTCTGAATTTCATCACATCTATCTAGTTCCTTTCTCCGCTCTTACACTGTGCCCTCATCTCATAGTCCCTTTTCTATCTTGATGTTCTTCATACACATACATATGTATGTACAAATATATTTAAATTTAAATTCTGTGTATGAAAGAGAATATTCAGTATTTGTCTTTCAAAGTATTGGTTATTGGATGTAACATGATCTCTAGTTTAATCCATTTTCTTGGAAATACCAATTTTTTCAAAGATTTTATTAAAAATTTAAAATTTTTTTATGCATGTATGTACATGTGTATGCGTACCCACAGAGACCGGAAGAGGTCATTAGGATACTCTGTCCTATGTGGTGCTGGATATGAACTCCTGTCCTCTGCAAGAGCAGTAAGTGCTCTTAACCACAGAGCCATTTCTCTGGCCTCTAAATGTAATTTCATTCTTCTTTATAGCTAAATAAAATTCCATTGTGTATATGTGCCAAGTTTTCTTTATTCATTTATCTATGATGCAGCTGTAGGCTAGTTCTTACCTTGACTTGTGATCAGTACAGCAAGCATAGCCTTGAATTCAGAGATCCACCTGCCTTTGTCTTTCAGGTGCTAGGATTAGAAGCATGTTCCTCCATTTGAGCCTGGCTTCGAATGTCTTTCTCAATCACCTGGAGCATGCTGATTTTACCTGACTAGACTAGCTGACCAATGAGTCTCAAATCCTCCTGTCTCTGCCTCCCCAGCACTGAGATTGCAGGCATATGGCATTGTGCCCAGCTCTTTAACGTAGATGCTAAGGGGATGGAACTCAGGTCTTTATGTTTGCTTTGCAAGCATTTTAACTATCAAGAAGTCTCTTTAGCCTCGTTTACATAAATCTTTTGCTTTTGTTTTTGTTTTTTCGAGACAGAGTTTCTCTGTAGCTTTGGAGCCTGTCCTGGAACTAGCTCTTGTAGACCAGGCTGGCCTCCAACTCACAAAGATCCTCTTGCTTCTGCCTCCCGAGTGCTGGAATTAAAGGCATGCACCACCACCGCCCAGAATAAATCTTGAACATAACTATTATGCCTAATGAAATTCAGACCCCTGCAAAATGGATGTTTGGGTCATGATTTGTTAACTTATCTTGATTTCCAGTAAAACACAGTGAAGACCTTCTCATAATCTATTAGTACATGAAGCAGGGGTAATCTCATACCAAGGCTGAATACTTTGTTATAGCTTCCTTCTTTTAGTATCGGGTCTATGGCCATTCGGGCTCACTGGATCTCATTTGGAAACAAAGGATTTTAGAGTAGATACTACTAAAGTTTCTCAACTCTAAAATAAAATTGTGATAAAGTTTTTAATGACTATAAAAAGAATGATAAGTACAGAATGGCTTTGTATTGATATTAATATACCTTTATTCAAATGTTGTGATTATCATAGCTTACCAAATGATTTGGGGGTTATTTTTAAAGAATATGTCCATGTAGTCCAAAGAATATGGCAATTTGCTTGCTATTTTTTCTCTACTTAAATGGATTTTTTTTTTACTTTGTATATCATGAAACTTATTAACAGGTTATATTCTATTTATCAATCCACTTAACACTAAAATCAATGCTGTGGAAATGAGATATTTTTAATGGGTCAGTTTTATACATGCATGTGATAATATTTTTTCAAGATTTATTTTTATATGCATTGATGTTTTGCCTGCATGTGTGTCTGTGTGAGGGTGTCAGATCTTTAAAACAAGTTATAGACAGCTGTGAGCTTTCATGTGGGTGATGGGAATTGAACCCAGGTCCTCTGGAAGAGCAGCCATTGCTTTTTACCACTGAGCCATCTCTCCAGCCCTTAATCATATTTCTATTTTAAAGATTTAAATTATGTGTATGGGTATGTGCATGTTGAGTTCAGGTACATGGGTAGGCCAGAAGACAGCACTGGCTCACTTGGAACTGAAGTTATAGGCAGTTGTGAACTGTCCAATATGGGTTCACAGCACTAGACTTGGGTACTTTATAAGAGCAGCAAGTGCCCTTAACTACTGAGCAATCTCTCCAGCCTCCATTTATTTATTTGTAGAATCTTTCTATGTAGCCCAAGCTATCCCAGCCTCCCAGTGTAGGAGTTACACATCAGAATATGCATTTTTATTTTTTATTACTTTGTAATATTTATTTGTGTGTGTGTGTGTTTAAGGCCCAAAGAAGAGCTGGAGTTACAGGAAGTTGTGAGCTGCCTGATATATGTGCTGGGAACTAAACTGCTCTCCTGTTCAAAATTGGATGAGCTGGATGGTGGTGGTGGCGAACGCCTTTAATCCCAGCATTTAGGAGGCAGAGGCAGGCAGATCTCAATTGAGGCCAGCCTGGTGTACAGTGCAAGTTCCAAGATAACCGGGACTGTTACACAGAGAAACCCTGTCTTGAAAAACAACAACAAAAAGAACGGATGAGCCATCTCTCCGGTGTTTCTTATTTTGTTGAGACAGAGTCTTATCACATAGTTCTGGCTGACCTGATACTTGGTATGCAAACCAGAATAGCCTCAAACTATTTTTTTCTTTATTGGCAATCCCACTGCCTCAGCTTCCTGAGGTGCTAGGAGTACAGGTATACACTGCCTACCTGGCTCTTTTTAAGTAAAACTCATAACATGTCCTAAATGAAAAATGCTAATTCCATGAAGCAATAAGGAATAGTGTTAGAAGGTTTCGTTGTGCTAGTTCTTAGAACTGTTTACACTTGCTAATTATTAGAGTTTAATTTTCTCTCATTTCTAGTTACTTGAGCCAGACCTTTATTATTAATGTTCTGATTTTATAGAGTTGATACTTGAGTGATTTAAATTCTCTTCTTCACAGAGCATGTCCTTTGCAACCTGACCACCCAGATGACGAAAATGAATAGAACTTACTCATCTGCATAATGTCTTCAGTTTACTTAGGTATTCTGGGATGTAAATTTGGGTAGATGTGTTTGTTTATTTGACTTGTTGACTACGCATTCATGTAGCCATTCAAAACAACTGGCTGTAAAAAGGGAGGATTTTTATAATTTGTAAATTATAATTGCATACTCGAATTTATAATGTAATAAGATGCTTCTTTTACCTGTTAAGTTTCTTGCTAAAATCAACATTGCATGATGTTCTAATTACTAATCTACAGTCTTTGAGATTTGCTTAGATCTATGTACTAATACCATATTATGGACACTTCATTATTGAAATAGTGCCAAAATGTTAGGGCTTGTTTGCTTTAAAAACTCAACTTAGTCTTTTTCACATTAAAAAAAAAAAACAGTATTAACTGAATTTAATCTCTTGCCATTTCTTAAAATGGGGGGGGGGCAAAGATAACATGTCAGCTGGGTGTGGTGGTGCACACCTTTGATCCCAGCACTAGGGAGGCAGAGGCAAGTGAACCTCTTTGAGTTGGAGGTAATCCTGATCTACAAATGGAGCTACAGGACAGCCAGTGCAGTTGTACAGAGAAACCCTGTCTCAAAAAAACAAAAACAATACCAATAGAATCAGGAACAAAGATTTCTTGGATACATTAAAAGAAGAATTTTTCTTGGATATACATTCAGTTCAGTATCATAAAATATTACCTTTTTTGCATATGTATTTTTTCTTTTTCTCCCCCAAGACAGAGTTTCTCTATGTAGTCCTGGCTGTCCTGGAACTTGCTCTATAGATCAGGCTGATCTTGAACTCGGCGATCCACCTGCCTCTGCCTCCTGAATGCTGTGATTAAAGACTTTGCCACCATGCCCGGTTTTTGCCAATATTTTTAAAGTCGGGAGTAAAAGATTTGACAAATCATGTTATAAATCAAGTATGCCTCAAGTCCTTAGAATTTCCCCTTCATTTCTCTCTCCTCCCCCACACTCCTTTGGTTTTTTTCAAGACAGAGTTTCTCTGTGTAGCCCTGGCTGTCCTAGAACTCAGTCTAGACCAGGCTGGCCTCTAACTCACAGAGATCCACCTGCCTCTGGAGTACAGGGATTAAAGGCGTGTGCCACTACTGCCCTCTCCTTCACTTCACAAGATGATTTGATCATTGGAGATAGGTATACTAATTATTTTGAGGCAGCATCTCATTATGTAGCCTCTAAGTGGCCTGAACTCAATGTATAGAGCAAGCTAGCTTTGAACTCACAGATCTGTTTGTTTTATAAATGCTGGGATCAAAAGTATGTGCCACTATGTTAACTGATATACTTGATTTTCTCATTGTGTTTTGTTTAATGACAGGCTATCAATTTTCAAAATTATCCATGTTCTTAGCAGCCATGGTTTTGTGTAATGTTTAAAATAAATGCGCAGTTTTACAATACAGTATCCATTTGTGTTTCCTACCATCTATACTACTTTATTTCCAAATACAAATAAATGTATTGGTGTTATTTTTAAGTCAATTTACAAATCATTTGAGATCAGCTGATTATAGACTTTTTTACTTTTTGTCTTTTACACTTTAGACACTAAGCAGAACCTCTTAATCCAATTACTTTGAAAATTATGTTTCTTGTTTCCTTTTTTGTTTGAGTTTTAGCTTTTTAAATAAAGGTTTATTTTTATTTTATGTGTTTTGAGTGTTTTGCCTAAATGTACATAGGTGTATGTGGAGTGTGTGTGTGTGTGTGTGTGGTGCCAGAAGAGGGCCTCAGATCTGCTGTACCTGGAATTAGGATACAGTTGCTGTCAAGTGGGGGCTGGGAACTGAACCTGGGTCTTCTACAAGAGCAAGTGGTCTTAACCACTGAACCATCTCTCTAGCCATGTTTTAGCTTTAAAGAGGGTCTCATCAAATCTCAGGTTGAACTGAAATTCAACCAGGCTGGTCTTGACCCTGAGACAATCACCCTCCTCATCTTTCCATGTGCTGGGATTACAGGTATCTGCCAACACAAATGGGTAAGTTTTGTTATTGTTTGTATTTTATTTTTTGAGACAGGGTTTCTCTGTGTAGCCCTGGCTGGCCTAGAACTCCTTTTTAGATCAGGCTAGTCTTGAACTTAAAAGGTTCACCTGCCTCTGTCTCCTGAGTGCTGGGATTAAAAAAGTATACACCATTGCTGCCTGATTTTGGTTTGATTTTAAGAAGTAGGTTAAAGTTTATTTATATTTTATGTATGAGAGCTCTGCATGTATAACTGCAGGCCAGAAGAGGGCATCAGATCCTATTATAGATGGTTGTGAACAACCATGTGGTTGCTGGGAATTGAACTCTGGACCCCTGGAAGAGCAGTTAGTACTATGAACCGCTGAGCCATCTCTCCAGCCTCTAAACCAAGTCTTTTAAAGTCAGGTTTTAGTAGCTCTGAAATCTGATTTGCTCTTTCTCACTAGTAGAGCAACTTTATGCTGGTGAGCCTAATGAGCCAAATTTTGATGTGTATAATTGTTTCCAAAACGTAGGATATATTGGATTTATTTACAGTCTGCAGACATATATATATATATGGGTATGGATGTGTTGAATGTGTGTAAAGGTCAGAGGACAACTTGTGAAAGTCAGCATTTTCCAGTAGGATCAAATATTCAGGCTTGGCAGGAAGCACCTTTTATTTATTCAGCCATCTTCCAGCCCCTTTCTGCTTTATCCCCCACCAGCCCATTTTGAGACAGGTCTCCCTATAAACAGCTTATAAATCCTACTATAGTTATCTTCCAGATAAACTCTTCTAGAAAAACTGAAAGTTAAGAAGGGTCTTGTCCAACCAACATTATTATAATTGGTCCTTTTTAAAAAAAAAATTCTTTGGAGACCTAGCGACGGGCGGAGGGCTGCGACAATGGGGCGGGCATGTTGCAGTCAGGGATACACGATCTGGGCGGCAGAGTCAGTTCGGTGCTCCGTGCAGTGCTCCGCGAAGCGGCTAACAGGACGTGTGAGGCCGGCAGAGCAAGCCGGGAAGCAGCAGGGTGGAAACGTAGCAGGGCCCGCAGCTTCAGCAGCCGCGGTGGCTATGGCTCCGATCAAGGTGGGAGATGCCATCCCCTCCGTGGAGGTATTTGACGGGGAACCTGGGAAGAAGGTGAACCTGGCAGAGCTGTTGAAGGGCAAGAAAGGTGTGCTGTTTGGAGTTCCTGGGGCGTTCACCCCTGGCTGTTCTAAGACCCACCTGCCTGGGTTTGTGGAGCAAGCTGAGGCTCTGAAGGCCAAGGGAGTGCAGGTGTTGGCAAGTCTGACTGTTAATGACGTCTTTGTGACAGAAGAGTGGGGTCGAGCCCACCAGGCGAAAGGCAAGGCTCGGCTCCTGGATGACCCAACTGGGGCCTTTGGGAAGGAGACAGATTTATTACTGGGCGATTCTTTGGTGTCTCTCTTTGGGAACCGCCGGCTGAAGAGGTTCTCCATGGTGGTAGACAATGGCGTAGTGAAGGCGCTGAATGTGGAGCCGGATGGCACAGGCCTCACCTGCAGCCTGGCCTCCAGCGTCCTCTCCCAGCTCTGAGACCCGGCCAGATGGAGGTCCTCTGTTGCTCCATCTTCCCTGCCCAGCTTTGGGCCAAGAGGTCCAGCCCCTCCTCACCTGGGGCCCCTTAAATGGAACCTTGACCATATTTCTGCAATAAACAGTCTGATTTTTGTCTTTGCCTTTGGCATGGAAAAAAAAATCTTTGAGAATAGTATACAGAAATAGGGGAGACTGTCATCAAATCAGATGGAAAGATGGTTAGAAGTCACAGTAACTCCTCAATAAATGGACTGTTCTATCACTCAACAACTGTAATATGAAAGAATGTTGAGTTTGAGTTGTTTTAACTACCATCTATTTACGGTCCATTTTTTTTTTTTTAAATCTTTTAAGAATAATTTATTTAGGGCTGGAGAGATGGCTCAGTGGTTAAGAGCACTGCCTGCTCTTCCAAAGGTCCTGAGTTCAATTCCCAGCAACCACATGGTGGCTCACAACCANAACCTGGTTATTTTTTTAAAAATTCAAAAAAGCAAAAATAAGATAAGGAAAAGCAAAATAACTATATTATAAAACAACAAACAGGAGGCTGGAGAGATGGCTCAGAGGTTAAGAGCATTTCCTGTTCTTCCAAAGGTCCTGAGTTCAATTCCCAGCAACCACATGGTGGCTCACAACCATCTGTAATGAGGTCTGGTGCCCTCTTCTGGCTTGCAGGCATATACACAGACAGAATAGTGTATACATAATAATTAATTAATTAAAAAAAGAATAATTTATTTATTATGTTCTGCCTGCATGCCAGAAGAGGGCACCAGATTGTATTACAGATGGTTGTGAGCCACCATGTGGTTGCTGGGAATTGAACTCGAGACCTCTGGAAGAAAAGCTGTAAGTGTTCTTAACCTCTGAGCCATCTCTACAGACCTGCTTGGCCCATTCTTGAAAGAATGTGCTATTCCACATATCAATTTTCAGTTATTTAAAAATGTTGTATCTTTAGCCTTCTCTTCATTAGGCTTAATGTTTTACTCTTTGTCACATATCCTGAGTTTCTCTGAATCACTTGTGCATCAATTGATTATTGCTTAGGCACAAAAAAGGTAAATCTGACTAAATTTCTTCTTTCTTGCTCTGAGTAGTCATCATAAACTATTCATTTCTAGTTTGGTGTTATTTTTAATCGTTTATTTTTATTTTATGTACATTGCTGTTTTGTCGGCCTGTCTGTCTGTGTGAGGCTGTCAGACCCCCTGGAACTGAAACTACTGACAGTTGTGAGTTACCACGTGGGTGCTGGGAATTGAATCCTGGTCTTCTGAAGAGCAGTCAGTGCTCTTAACTACTGAGCCATCTCTCCAGTCCCAAGTTTTTTTTTTTTTTTAATGTTTAGAGAAACCAGATGAACTCTAACAGTACATACTTTGTTTTATTGTTTATAACTCAGAATGGTCTTGAACTTGGTCCGCAATCTGTCTTCTGTGTGCTGGTGAGAATACAGGTGTGTGCTACTTAACTAGCACTCTAATGTGTTCAGCGCTAGTTACTCTAGAGTACTGAGTTTCGCAAAAAACCATCAAATTTGCTTTATTAAAAAAGACATTTATTTTATGTGTATGAATATTTTGCCTGTATGCACATATATATGTGCACCACATGCATACCTGGTATCATGGATCCCCTGGAACTGAAGTTTCAGGCAGTTGTGAGCTGCCACATGGGTGCTGAGAATTGAACCAAGGTCCTCTAGAGGAACAGCAAGTACTTCTAGCCACCGAGCCATCTCTCCACTCCCTTTGCTCTTTTTGTTGTTTAGTCCAGAGTGGGTTATAATTCATGTCAATCCTAACTCAGTTCTGAAGTGCTAGAATTACAGGCACCTGCTCAACTTAATTCATTAAGTCATTACAAAGAAAATAAAATTAAAAAGTGAATTTAAAGACAGGAGGCTGGAAGTCCCATATTAATCACATGATACAGGTACTATACTGGCTTTTTGAAGGCAACTAAGATCTAGCCTATGAACATAATATTCTACAGTTCATATTAAGAGTATATCCTAGCCCAGCCGAATAACTCAAAGGGAAGGGCAATTGCTGCTAATACCAAGCCTGGCAACCTGAGCTCAGTCTCTGGGATCAATCTGGTTGAAGGAGCGAAGGACCTTGAGCATATTCTAATTTCCACATTCATATGCCTACACCAAAATAAATATAATAATAAAAGAATATGGATTCCTGTAACATTATTTACAAAATTACAAAAGTGTAGTTAAACTCACACAAGTAGCTTTAGGTTAGGACTTTGCTACTTATCTTTCAAGGTCTCCAAACAATGAGTATTTGAAAATAAAAGAATTACAAAAGCTCATTTGATCATTTAGGACACAACTCAGTTTTTCAGACACATAGAAAAGTGAATTAAAAAAAAAAAACCCAGTTGGGTGGTGGTGGTGCACACCTTTAGTTCCACCCAGAACTTGGAAGGCAGAGGCAGGCAGATCTCTGTGAGTTTGAGACCAGCCTGGTCTATAGACCGAGTTCCAGGACAGGCTCTAAAGCTACACAGAGAAACCCTGTCTCGAGAAAACAAACAAAACAAAACCAAAAAAAGCCCCAAAGCAGTAAGGGAAGGAGCTAAACGCTGCTTATAAAGCACTCCAGTAGGGGTTGTGTTCTTCAAAGGTGTGTGCATTGCCAGGAGCTTAAGCTCATTGTTGAATATAATTTAAATTTTTTTTAATGAGACAGTAATTTCTATAGGCCCCGTTTTTATTTTTTTAATATTTATTTATTTATTATGTATACAATATTCTGTGTGTATGCCTGAAGGCCAGAAGAGGGTGCCAGACCTCTTTACAGATGGTTGTGAGTCACCATGTGGTTGCCGGGAATTGAACTCAGGACCTCTGGAAGAGCAGCCAGTGCTCTTAACCTCTGAGCCATCTCTCCAGCCCCCCGTTTTTGTTTTAAACCATAACCATGTTTTCGTTCTTTAAGTACATCATAAGCTGTTGCTCATTGGGCTCAAATTTGAATTTATTTTAGAAGTTAAAGGATCGTATTTACACCCGTTGGCAGTTGAAATAGTAAACTCTGGTAGTGCTTTATCACTCATCACTTGGAGCCAGGTGTGTGTGTGTGTGTGTGTGTGTGTGGTATCAGGCACACATGATAATGGCAGAGGTGGGGATATTTTAGGCTTATTAAACAACCTGCTACTGGTACATCAGAAGCTAAAGTAGTTCTCTAAAAGCTTTACTGAATTGATTACCTAGGATGAATCAATTTAATGTCATCCTATGGGTCTAGGAAATGAACAGAATTACCAAATCTAATTTTCTATCCTAGCTGAGGTGAACAACAGTCTACCAGTAATTTTGTGACTGATAAAATTGGGGCCTGCAGTTGCAAATCAGCAGGAAAATATTTCGAAGCTAAAGTTAGGAAAGCCAGTCCAGCCTGGTGATGCATGGTTTAAATTTCAGCATTCAGGAGGCAGAGGCAGGTGGATGGATCTCTTGAGTTCAAGGCCAACCAGGTCTCCACAGTTCAGGTCAGTCCGGGCTTCATAGTGTCCTGATTCAAAATATAAAGTCTCATGATGATTCCCGCCACCCAGGTTTCTCTTAAAATGTAATGACTGTAATTATACGGGTCATTTTATAAATGGTTTATAAGAGAGAGGGTTATTTTGTTGGCTTCTGCCCAACCATCGTTTACCGGTTTTTTTTTAAATGTGAGATTGAACCTAGTGCCCGAGGCATGCTAAGGAAAATGTTTTAAAACTCCCCATATAGACTGGGCTTTGTACTCCCTATGCTCTCTCCCTCTGGAGTCCAAGCATTACAGGCCCGCTTACCATGCCCACTTTAAATGAGGTTTTGCTCCCCACCCACTGCCCCCACCCGCTTTCTTCAGTGCCAGGGGATAGAACTAAGGACCTTGCCCATGCCAGGCAAGTGCTGTACCATAGAACTACATTCCCGGCCTTACTGAGGCTTTTTTATGGACAACGTTCTTGTTCACGGAATAGATATGATGGTTTATTCTGAAGGATTAGTTGTCTTCTTACACAAGCTTAGTTACTGGCATTCTTTACTCTTGCTTTGTTGTTTTAGGGAATAATTTTTCCCTGGTTAATTTACATGGAACGCCCACCTCCTTTAGATATAGCTACGTTATTTCCAGGTTACATATAAATACGCTAAACCTTTTTTTAATAAAACAAGCTAAGACGAAACTTTTCTTACCCTCTATTCGACTTCTGGGGCCGTTTCAGAACGAAATGCCTGCAAACGTCTGGTTGAACGACAGGAAATCCACCAGAGGGAGAAGCCTGCTAGACCAGGAGAAACTCCCGCTAGGGCCCTGAGAGAGGAGCTTTGGGAGGAGCCGCCGGGTTGGCCTAGGATTCGAGAAGAGGCGAGGAGGTGTGTGTAGTTTGGCGCTGGTGTTGGAGAATAGCTGAGGGAACCAGACTACCTGCGGCAGCGAGGCGTTTACTTGGTCTAATACTGCAAATTAAAGGTCTAAGGATATTGCCAAAGGAGAACACGAAGTTCCCGACCCACCGCCCAACAGTCCCAGAAGAAATGGGGGTGGGTATCTTTAAAGGCACTTCCGCTTAGCAACCCCACGCTGTTGCTAAGGAGGGGCTGCAGCATGGACGACCCGGAAGTGGTGATCTGAATTTCTCATTGACTGCTGAGGGTTTGTCCTATCAGGAGAGCCAGGATGCGCTGCGCCTCCTGGAGGTGGGTGGGACCAGCATTAGTACTTCCGGTTTGGCTCCGGCCGCCCCTCAACTCCTCTCCTCCCCCCCCCCCCTCCGCCTCCTCGTCTCCCTCCCGCTCCTGGGAAAGCGAAGCCGTCGCTTTAAGGGTGGCTGTGAGAATCACTCGGCGTCTCGGGGAGGGGACCGCGCCCGCCCCCTTGGAACCTCGGAGTGCGGCCGATACAGGTAGTTGCTCTGGCTTCGACTGGGTCTGGGAGACCAATCTGAGGAGATATGTGTATTTGTGTGTGCGTATGTGTGTGCGTGTGTGAGAAAGAGAGAGAGGGGCTTGGGGGGGGGGGCCCTTCTCCGGGGCGGGGCAGGGGACGCCGGGATCCGGGGTGGGGCACGGGCCTGTCTGTGGCGGGTTGCGGGGGCGGGATGGAGGAACCAGGGTCCTTGCGAGCGAAGAGTTGCGGGTGGTCGGTTAGACTCGGTCGCAGGAGGCTGCCTTTCTGAGGCAGAGACTTCGGTCAATGCAAACCGGGAGTTTCCCACCTGGAGTGCCCGCTCCCGCTCCGAAAGGGGAGGGAGGGGGAGCATCATTCAAGGCCGAAATCAGGGTACGGACTTTGCTGAATGGCTGTGGTCTTCCCATACTTCACACTGTCCGCGTCCCGGACCCTTTCTGCTGGGGCAGAGCCGGGCTTCGAGGACTTGTAGGGGTTTCGTGTCTGCTGGGCATCGCGGAGCCGCCCTTGGCAGAGCTAGGGCAGAAGAGTGGGTAATGAGACCTCCCTCCACCCAACTTCCGTGCGCTTCCCCCGCTTCTTCCTTTATTGCTCTCTCGCCCTGGCGCCCTATAGGAGCGGTTGTCCCCCAAGTGGGCACGCATCACATCATAAAAGAAAAGAGTGTGGAACTGGGTTTGTTGCCCCTGGATGGTATTTCGGATATTTGCAAATGGCCAGGATGGCATATTCTAGCAGTCTCCCGGAGCGATATGTATGTATCTGGTATGAATTTTCTTAGAAAAGTGCAATACTGGAAAGCATCTATTCAAACGTAGCCTTATAAATGTACATGCTTAAAACACGCACACAAATCCATATAAATGGAGGTCTAGATGAGACATGTTGAGGCAAGTTTTTCCAGCCTTTTTCATCTGCCAAACCTGTGGTTTAAACGAATCAGAAATACTCTCTTCATTTCTGTTTAGCTGACCGAATTGTAGGTAGTTTAGTGATATATGTCTTAGAACAACAAGTGAACATTTGGAGAGAGTCCCTCTCCGCTGTTGAGCTGTCTCTTAATCTTTTAAGGAGATAATTGTACTCAAGTGGAAATGTTGGCTTTGAGAAAGATAATTCTGGGAATGAATCAGCCTGCGCCTCTTGCGAGTTGTTGACCTTGGTCAAGTCATAGACTATAGCAGAGTTTCAGTCTCTTCACAAATAGGTGTTAAATTTTAATCAGTGTTATAAGAGAGGTGATTTTTTATATAACTCCATTTAAAACAAGCACCTTTGAATTTCAAGATTGTCATTACATAGTTAGAGTAGCCCAACTTAGTGGAAGAGGATTTTGAAAAGGGAACTGGATGGTAATGTTCAAAGAGAACATTTTGAGGGGTTTCTTTTTCTTTCTTTCTTTCTTTCTTTTTTTTTTTTTTTTTTTGGTTTTTCGAGACAGGCTTTGGAGCCTGTCCTGGAACTAGCTTTTGTAGACCAGGCTGGCCTCGAACGCACAGAGATCCGACTGCCTCTTCCTCTTGAGTGCTGGAGTTAAAGGAGAGAGCCACCACTGCCTAGCTTCAATAGTTTCTTAAAGCATGTAGTAAATACTGTATGTTTTTTATCTTGAAATGACCAAAGTACATTTGATAGATATTTCTCAGATAAACCACAGTTATATATGGATTGAAGTTAAAAAAATTATAAATAACTTATTTAAATCTTAACATCATGTCTTAAAGGCTGTTAGACTTGGAACATAAAATAGTAGTTGTAATTTTAAGATTAAGGTCAACATCACTTGCATGAGTCATCTTAGTTAGATTTAGTTTATAGTATTAGGAAAATTTAATTTAATTCTGTTTTGTTTTTTGAGACAGTCTCAGCATATAACTCAGGCTGACCTTGATCTTGAGACACTCTTTTCCTTTAAGAGCTGGGATTACAACTATATCTCACCTAGAGAATTCTTACATATAAACTGTAAAATAAATGAAAATACAATAAATTTTTCCCTTTAAATCTTTAGTCATCAGAATATAAAAATAACTTAGAAAATGAAATCTTGATAAATACTTATTTGCCTTGTGGATTTAAAATAACAGTTCTATGTAACTTATTATGTTGGGCTTTTCTTTTTCCTTGAGAAAGGGTCAGGGTTGGGGATTTAGCTCAGCTTCAGTAAAAAATAAAAGAGAGAAAGGGTCTCACTGTAGCTTTGGTTGGTTTGGAACATATTTTGTAGACCAGGCTTACCTGGAACTCACAGAGATCCATCTGCCTCTGCTTCCTGAATGCTGGGACTAAAAGCAGGCACCACCACACCCAGCTTATGTCAGATTTTCAACTAACAGGTTTTCTTTGTGGGTAGTAATTTGAAACATTTCAAATGTACTTTGTACTCAAAAGAGGCTGAATATAAATAACTTCCTTTAAGCCTGGCGGTGGTGGCGCACGCCTTTAATCCCAGCGCTCGGGAGGCAGAGGCATGCGGATCTCTGAGAGTTCGAGGCCAGCCTGGTCTACAAGAGCTAGTTCCGGGACAGGCACCAAAGCTACAGAGAAACCTTGTCTCGAAAAAAAAAAAACCAAAACTCCCTTTACTATTTTTTGCATGAAAAGTAGGTATGAGGTTTTCAGTCTGGTGTGACCTTTCAGAGAGGTTTGCACATTTTTTGTAAAATTGAGGGAAATTTTCAATATCTCTGGTTTTTTTTTTAAAGATATTTATTATGTATACAATACAGTGTGCTGCCTCCATGTATGTATGACTGCAGGTCAGAAGAGGGCACCAGATCTCATTGTAGATGGTTGTAAGCCACCATGTGGTTGCTGGGAATTGAACTCAAGACCTCTGGAAGAACAGAGGTCCTTAACCTCTGAGCCATCTCTCCAGCCCCTCAATATCTCTGTTTTAAGCTGAGTTGAAATTATGTTTTGCTATAGTTGAGGATTTTTGGCAAAATGATTCAAAATTTTAAATGGCCCTTTTTAGGGAGCAGTCTTAAATATAAATCTAGGGTTTTGCTATGTTTTTTGAATTCTTATTTTTCATGACTTTTTGAATCTTAAAGTTGAGATCACATTGTCTTTGCTTTTATCAGTGCCCATTTTTTAACCTGCCTTTTAAATAAAATGTTAATAATCCACTTATTTTCATATAAGGAATAGGATAATAGCTGTTGATATGAAAATTCTGCCTAAATTATATTCCATACATGCAAAAATGTTGGAGATACTTTCTGTGGTGACCAATCCAAAGACCTTTGCAGTTGTCAGTTGTGTAATTTGCTTGTGAGGGAATTTTAAAACTACTGGCTCTCCTTTGAGCATGTCTTTGATAGTCTTAGAAATTTAGACATGATAGAGGAGGTATATGTAGGGAAATATACACACATATATACATTCGTACATACACACCATCTAGTAGAATCATAGACTAAGCAAAGTAGTTAATTGTATTGTGCTGCTTTTAAATCATGAATAAAAGAGTTATTGTGGGAATGTTAAAAGTTATTTTAAGGGGCTGGAGAGATAGCTCGACAGTGAAGAGCATGGGCTGCTCTTTAATTCCCAGCACGCACATGGCAGCTCACAACTGTCTGTAATTCCAGGTCCAGGTGATCTGACACCTCCACACTGATGCACCATAAAAAAAATTTTTTTTTTACAAAGTCCAGAAAATACTTTGTTTTTTTACTTCAGCCACATGACTGTTCTCTCCTGAGCTTGTTTCTAACAGTATATTTTAATAAAATAATTAGCTTTTTATCAAGTTAAGTAATCTTTATATTAAGAAAAAAGACAATGTAGCTAGAATTTTTATGATTATTTTTATTTTATTTGCCTTGGTATTTTGTCTGCATGTGTATGTGAGGGGGCCAGATCTTGGTCTTACAGACCAGACCGTTGTTAGCTGACATATGAGTGCTGGGAATTGATTCCAGTCCTCCGGAAGAACTGAGCCATCTCTCGAGCCCCCATAGTTAGATTTCAGTACGACCAATTTTTTGATAAAAACTTCTTCAGTGTTTTTACATACATAGTAGACTTTCCTGGAAGAACCTTGAATTTGTAAAATGATAGTTTTTCTCTTAATAGCTAACTCTACCCATTCGTGCCTAATATAGAATCTCCGAGAAGCTGGGGAAAAAAAGAGTGAATTTACTTGAGAATTACCATTTTAAGTTTTATAGATTACTTATTTAGAAAGCTAAATTGGATTTTGACATTATTGGGATTGTGTTCAAGATGGACTAAGGGAAAAAATTAGATGCCATCTGTTTCACATTCCTTCTTTGCTCGCCCCTTCCATATTTTATGGCTTTGAATTCATCAGATTATTTTTCAAAAATATAAACCTCCAGTAGATTTGGATTATATAATATCAACTCCTCTCAGCGAATGTGTAACTAAATGACTTGGATTGTTATGTTGCTGTATAGGACAATAGGAGGCATTGCTTCAAGATAATTGTTGAATTATTTAATATTTTCTGTGTGTGAGTTAGCTTCTTGTATCTTTTTTATTATCTTGGTAAATGTTTGTTTGTTTATTAGTCCAAGCTGACTTCAAACTTGCCATGTAGCCCATCTGGCCCTAAGTTTTTGATCCTGCTGCCGATGTCTCACAAGTGTTAAGATTACAGGCTGTGCCACCAGGCCCAGCACTGATAAACCATTTTTCTTGTTCCTGCTTACTGTAGTCTAATTTTGGTGAAAGCTGTGTTAAAGAAAGGAGAGTATTAGAATAAATGATACTGTTAGACTAAATCTTTATTCACTTGATAGATCACAGCCAGCAAAAGTCTGCTGAGAATTTTTATTTAGTGACAAACCCACTTTATAGCCTCTTGTAGCAATAGTTTTTCCTTACCTATATACTGTAGCTTAGTTTTCATCCAAAATGTGTGCCCAGTTCAATTTGGATTATTTTGGCAGGCAGGTTCTAGTCACATTTGAATCTAAATAAACCCCAGGGAGGGGCTATTGGACTTCCACAACTGAAAAAAAAAGCATACCTTGCTGAGGTTATAGTAGTTTGTACTTAGCATGGCCTGAGAGAGCCAGGCATCTGAGAGATAGGCTGTAAAGGAGAACTAACGTGGTATCCCAGAAATGGCCTGAAGGAGAGCCATCTGGACAGAAGAGAGTTGCGCGCTTGTCTCCAGCAGGAATGTTCTGGTGAGGTAGGAAGACAGATGGACTATCTACACCACTGTATTCTGTCCCTCACTTAGAAGCTTCAAGTGGGCAGTGTAGTTATGTGGGGGCTGGGATGCCAGGGATAGCAATTGTTCTTTCTTTGCCTGTCACAATGGAGGTGTGGACATTCTGGGAAAGGATTTTCTCTTGGCTTTTACAGCATGGTCAGAGAAGGTGGGTGGACAA